CCACCCCCCCCCCCCCCCCCCCCCCCCCCCCCCCGTGACACTGTCTGCAGTGCCGGGTCTACAACAGACTGCTATGGCTATGAGTGAGCATGCCCACAAAGGGTGGGCAACTGAAGGTCCTCTGGCAAATCTTCCAGATATTCCTGGAAAATTCGAGAAGCCTGTGGCCACAGTGGCCCAGACTCCCCGTGCAGCAGCTGGTACCCTCCTCAGTGCCCATGACCTCTATGGTACCAGAGTAAAGATCCCTTATGGGGGTGCCCCTGCAGGATAAAGGCTGTCCACAAGCAAGAGCGTCCAAGGTGTGCACAGGGTGGGTTGTGGGGCAGGAGATGGGAAGAGGCTAGAAGCAGGAAGAGGGGTTCCCTGGCTTTGTGTTTCAGCCATGCTCCAAGCCCAACAGCAAAACAGGACCTGGCTGCCTAGGGCAGGAGTCCTCCCTCTGGGGCAGTGGGTAACAGTTAGGGCAGTCGGCACCTCTGAGGGCACAGACTTCATTCAGGGCACCATGCTAGCCAGGCACCTGCCATGGCAGGGATTCACCCACCCTCAAGGCTTGATTTATAAGGTGTCTCGTTCTGGGTCATTTGCTTTCTCCAAAGGCTGCAGAAATCTAATTGCTCTTTGAAGAAGAAGGAAAAAAAAGCCCCAAATAAGGCAGTTAATTGCAAGTGAACGGATCCTCAAACGGGGCCACGCTGGCCTGGAGGCGACAACACGTGTGGAATCCTGAGTGGGAGAGTAGCCACTGCCTGGTGAGCTGGTACGAGACCCGTCCAGCCCGCAGCCAGCTCAGGGTGATGCAAAGGTTAAGCCTCTCTCCTGAGACCCTTCTGGCCTGGCGGTTAATTGGAATAACAAAGTCAATACGTGTGGCCGCCAAGGGACACAATCTTCGTTTGATCTCTCTCCTGGGCAGATTAATTAAGTGTTATCAATTAATGGCCCTGGTTAAAGGGGACACATGTTCGCCACTTTCATAGGCAATGTTGGGCCTGCAGGCCTACGAAAGCGGCCTGGTTTCTGCGGGTAATGAGAGGAGATGATAATGGGACCTGGGACTCAGCCATCCATGCCCTCGCAAGACACCAGGCACTCTGCAGCAGATCACCTCTGAGCCTTCCTCGAACCCAGTGCAGCTGGACAGGGTCTAGCGCAGCCCAGGAGGGCATGTGGGGGGCAGCCCAGAGGAACACCCAGGTCCAGTTGTCATGGGCAGACACATCAGCCCCAGGACAAGAAACAAGGTCTGCTCATGGAGCCACGACTTCTGTCCTGGCTCTGAGTACCTGAGGGGGCAAGCATGTCTGCTCTGGTTGGGCCTGAGCCACTGTGAGCTTATATGGTCCCCAAGGAAGCCAGAGCTGGCATAGGCTACTCACTGAGCAAGGTGAGCGCCACCTGGTGGTGGTTGTCTCTCTAGCACAGGAGACAGGAGAAGGAGCAGAGCTGAGGAGCCAGCGTGGGCACCTGCTCTAGCTGCATGTGGCCTTCCGAGGTAGTCCAGTTCTTCTATGTCCCCACTCGCACCTCTGTGCTCATGGTGGAGTCTGGACACTGCATCTTATTTGACTGGGATCCTGTAACAGTCAATCTGTCCCTACACCAAGGTTGCCCGTGGACACCTATAAATCAGGAGAAAATTCCCAGGTTCCTTGTAGTAAACCAGAAGAGGAAAGAGGTGGAGTGGAGGGGTCAGCTTTAGCCAAGTCTCAGAGAAGCAGCCATGGTGTTCAGGAGGAGGAGGCTACGTCTCTGTTCTCGGCTGGTTCGTGCATAGAGGACGCTCCCTTCTGCCTGTATCTCTCAGGGAAGATGGACAAACAGCTCTCCTAAGCTTTGGAGAGGGAGTGAGTTTGCAGCTGAAGCTGAAGAAACTTTGCCTCTGACACCGGTCAACTTGGTGGCCCCACGAGAGCTGAGGCACCTTGCAGGGCTTTCCCTCTGTCCTGATTATTACAGGGAAAGGGTGTCAAGTGCCGCAGACCAGAAAGGAACAGAGGAGGGAGAGCAAGGTGATGAAGGCATTAGTGACGCCAGGCACGAGGGCGGGGGTGACGACAGTGACAAGACAAGGAATATGGTGGAGCTAGAGCCGATGGCGTGGCTGGTGCTGAGAGTGAGAGGAGATGATGATGACGGTGACGATGGCGGTCATGACGATGGTGATGGTCGTGTCAGTGCTGATCAGTGATGGCTCTGATGGTACCGGTGGGGCAGGTGATGGTGACGATAGTGGTAACGGTGGTCAGGATGATAGAGGTAATGGTGACGATTGTGATGGTGCCGATGGGAGACGTGATCACGACACAATGGTACCTGTGATAATGAAGGTGATGGTGGTGGAGATACTGGTGGTAATAATGGTGACAGTGACAGAGATTAGTGCTGATGATGGTGTGCTGGTGGTAACAAGGGTAATGCAGTGTGTTGGTGATGGTAACAGTGGCTTTAATTGTCTATGGCAAAATGTCTGAACTCATAGTGACTAAAAGTCATGGTTAGGCATCTCAGGCTGGACTGTGGCAGATTCCCTTCCCAGCTGCCAGCAGGCCAGGATGTTCATTGCCTCTTGGCCAGGACATTCACTGCTTATCACACTGACTTTCTACATAGGCTGCATGAGCGTGGCTCTACGAGGGTGGCTGTATGAGTGTAGCTGAATGAGCATGGTTGTACGAGTGTGGCTGTATGAGCTTGGTTGTACGAGCATGGTTGTACAAGTGTGGCTGTATGAGCATGGTTGTACAAGTGTGGTTATACGAACATACTTAGTTGTATGAGTTTGGCTGTATGAGCGTGGTTGAATGAATGTGGCTGTATGACCATGACTGTATGAGCATGTTTGTATGAGCATGGCTGTATGAGCATGGTTGTATGAGCATGGCTGTATGAGCATGGCTGTACCAGTGTGGCTGTACAGGCATGGTTGTATGACCGTGACTGTATGAGTGTTGTTATATGAGCGCAGCTGTACAAGCGTGGGTCAGCAGCTCTGTCCCACCAAGGCATGTAGTGAGAAAGACGTGGAAGGGGAGAGAGGGAGACCTGAAGACGTGTCCAGAGGGCACGTCTGTCTCATAACCCATTTTAGGAGTGTAATATAGTACTCTCCTGCTATATCACACAACAGTGAGACCACTGGACAATGGACAGCACAGTGGTCTGTCGCTGGGGCCATCTTGATATCTGCTACAGTGGGGACGTCAAGAACAAGGAAGGAGTGGCGAGTGGCTTCCAGCCTCAACTTACCTGTCAGGAGGGAGTCAGAATCTATAGCCAGGTTCCAGCTCCCCAGGAAAGGAAGACAAGCTTGGGTCCCACCCCAGGGCCATCTGAAGTGCTGTGTGCTGTGGGAGACACCCCTTTTCCTCTGAGCCAACTCGTAGATGTCATATTCCAGAGCCCAAGACGTCCATCTGATCCCCAGTCTGTTTTCAGCTCCCCGACCCAGGGCACCAGCTAGGTGGAAGGAAGAGAGACCAGGAGTTCAAGGGGGGGCATACCAAGGGGCATTGGCTGGACAGGCTGGTAGAAGGCTGAGGCTAGCCTTGGAAGGGACCCAGGCTGGGAGCCGTTAGCCACAGCCTCCCCTCCTTGGCTCTCTGGAATAAATCCCGCTAACAACCCTGTGCCGCAGTCCCTGAGGGATGAACGTACAGTCCCATAATTCTCCCTATGGGACAGTTTGTAATAAAATTGCTTCTAAAAACATATTTGCAAGTTGCCACATTTTTTAAGCAGAACAATCTCCAACGCGGCTCTCCGTCTCCTTGATGAAGTAGCCGCCTCCTGCACACGGATTCTGTCAGAGCGGCCCCCGTGTGGGGGACGGGCACTCTTCAGTGGCCCTCTTCAAAAGCACTGCCGTGACTTATGGCTCTTGAAAGAGTACACTTCCTGTAGTGTGACAGGGGCAGCTTGCACATAGGTAAGGGCAGCGTGCCAGGCTGGCCCAGCACAGAATGGCATCTGGGCAATCTGAGGCTATGGGTAACACAATGAGACCACTACTTCCCGTACCTAGCCGCTCTATCCCACGGTCCCAGTCAATTCCCAGCCTAGCTATAGCCCCTTAAGATTTGGAGGTGTGGAGGTGGGGAGTCAGCCTCAGGCCTCAGATGACAGAGATGATTGTGTTGGGGGTCCAACTGCCAGACCCTGCTGGCTCCATTGGTTCCTCAGAGCTCATCCAAGGTCTCAGGACCCCTGTTACCTGCAATCCCATTACAGCCTTTTCCCTTTTGTGAGCATGGCATGTCAGCCAGTCTTAATGGGACTCTATTTCCCACTGTGTTCTAGCAATGGCCTCTCACAGCCTGTCCTTGCTCCAGGGGTGAAACTGCCCCCTAACAGGAGCCCCGTACCCCACCTCTTAGCTTTGCTCCCTAGAGCCATGTGTGCTAAAGGTCAGGATTGTGGGGCCTCCATACCAAAGACACAATGTCGAGACCAATCCTCATTTCCCATCAAATCAATACCATTAGCATCCTTGGGCTTGCTTGGTGTTGGAATAGTCAGATGGGGATACTCAGGTAATGGGATGAAAGACCACGGTTGCCACACAGAACTAAACGAAACTGCTGCACACTTCTTTCTTTTTCTGAGACAGGATCTCATTACATAGCCCTGGCTGACCTGGAAATCACAGTGTAGACCAGGCTGGCTTTGAACTCACAGCGTGCTGGCTGTGTGCCCCCCATCTGGCCTGAACGGTCTATCAGCTCCACTGACCACCTTTGGTCTAGGTGCAGCAAGGGCAATACTCACAGCCATGCCCAACACCTTTTCAACCGAGTCCACCTGCCAGGGCTCCGTCCTGGGGCTGAGAGAGAGGCGGCCCAATGCGTGGGTGGCCCCAGAGCCAGGAGTCAGTTCACTGCACCTGCTTCTTGCCATAACCAGTGACCCTGCCCAGCTGTGTGTGTCTGCGTACACCGCTATGCCTACCACAGGTGCCAAGAGACAGTGGCAAATGCCACGATAGCCACAGGTGAAGCTACTGAGCATCCACGGATGGGCTAACTGTGACAGAACGTGGATTGCCCACGTGGCGGAACAGTGCTCAGCCTTTAAAAGGAAGTGACTCCTGACACGCACGGCAGCAGAGGCAGGTAGACACAGGGGCACTGGTCTGACAGCATGGCAGTTGCAATAGGTGTGGACCCCAGGGCTGCTCACACTCAACATAGGTATAGTCTCTAGGAAACAGGAAGGACGAAGAGGGGCCCGGTGCAAGCTTCTGACGATATCCATCTCGGAAGTGGGCTGTGGCCGAACACGAGAACACACTGTCAGCAAGTGTGAGCTGATGCCCGGGAGCTGAAATAAAACAAAGAAAATTAACTTAGGAGTCACAGGTGTTTGGGCGGCAGGAAATGCCTCCCACGGACTGATTCTTCTGTAGGCTCCTGTATGCTGGACGCTGGGCCAGTGCTACCTTCCTGGGCCAGGGCTGGAGGTCCCCGGTGAAGGGCAGGCGACCACCTCACTGACTGACAGAGCCTGACTTCGGCCGCCGGAGGCATGTAGGTCCTTCTCCACAGAATTTGGGCTAGGTAGGGCAGGGGAAAAACAGGAACCCAGGGTGTCTGGACACCCCTGAGGACAGAAAGGCAGGGAACAATGCAGTGACGTGTACCCTCCCAGGTGCAGGGTGACTTGGCAGCATGAGGCCTCGAAGGTGGCTAAGGTACTCTCGGCCTCTAACCCAGTTTTACCGCCTACACCCAGCTCCCAGTTCCTCAACAGGCTCAAGGCTGCCACCCGCTGAGTGAGTATTGGGACCCCCATCCTGCTTATTGGGGGTGGTCTCCAGGGTGTGCACAGCTCCAGGTGGCCAGAGTGTGCATTCTTGCTCCACAGTCCTGTGCCCACACCCCACTGGTCTCTCCTGGGGTGGGAGCCCGTAGAGATATATTAATTATATTTCTCTCCACTAATGGGCTGCTTACTTTATGATGTGGGGACACAAAAGTAAATTTTAAAATCAATTATACAATTACATATGTAGCAATAACAGAGTACACGGCTAATCCCCGCCGGGTCAGAACAGCAACCTTCCAATAATGCAGGTTTCATTAGGGGAAGGGCTGTTATTGCCAAGAATTACAGAAATAATGGGAGTGGGTGTATTCAGCGAGAAGTAACAAATGAGGCCGCTCTGGAGATAAGACGCAGAGCCGGCTGCTCACGAGCACCGAGGAGGCCGAGTACATCGAGGGTCACTAGCGCCGGGGAACAAGAATTAATTTTAGACGCTTCCTGGAGCCCAGAGGGTGGGAGAGTGGGGGCTTCTGTCACGCCTAGGGGTGGGAGGACTGGGGGTAGCAGAGAGAAGGCCCCTCACTCAGCCACCCTCCTCGGGTGATCTTGGGCTGTAGCCCCCCGTGCTGCATATACGGTATTAACCCTTGCTGTTACACACACTGCCAAGTCAATGCCAGGCGCAGGGTGGGACATGGCTTCAGTTCCTTTCCCGTTCTGGACCAGAGGAGCTCAGATGACCTGGCCACTGTATGGAGTGTGGAGTAGGCTTCCAGAGCTGGATGGAGCTCTTCCCAGGTTTAGAGCCGAGCTACCACCCATGGGGATTGTGTCTAGGTAGGGAGTGCAGCAGAGTCCAGTCTGCCAAGCCGAGAAGGGACCCAGCAGACAGCCAATGTGGCGGAAAGGAAATAGGCTGTGTGCTGGTTCCCTAGGGAGGGCAGAGCTCCTGGCACCTCCAGGCAGAGCTACCAAGGGTCAGGGCAGCACCCACGACTGAATCAGGATGGATAATCCCCTGGAAGGAGGAGGGGCTTTGGCATATAGTAGCACGTCGCCCAGTAAGCTGGCTCCTCCTGTTTGTGCCAAGAAGAATCTTGGTCACTTGATGACTTACCAGGGTCACTGCATAAGGGACTCTGAACTGGGACCAGAGCTAGCAGGACCAGCCTACTCCATGTGGTCCCCAGACACTGCTGGGTCTCTAGTGAGAGTCTTGCCCCATAACTGGAGCAGGGACCCCTGGTGAGGCTGGGACCCTTGGCCACAGGGCAGATGACCATCTCCTAAAGGGTTTCAGCAGCGCAGAGAGCCGTGGTCAGAGGCACAGGCCACATTGCTACCTGTCCTCAGAGGCTTCCACACATCCTCGGAATCAACCCCCTGCGGTAAGTGGGAGGTTATCTAGCAGACCTCAGGACAGCAGTCTTACCCTCTACCAGGCTCAGAAGCTGCTGCAGGCACCCCAGATTGTAGCCCCCTTGCCCCTCCCCACCAGTGGCTGTGGCAGGTTGGTGGCTTGAGACAGGATGGGAAGAACCGCCCAAGTGCAGGAGAGTCCTAAGTGATTATCCAAGGCCACCGGGTTACCATGCATGTAAATGAGGCCCAGACAGCCCATGGATCAGGCCTTTTCTTCCAGGCGCCAGCAACCAGCAAAAGGACTCTGATAAGGGGATCTTTGTAATTACACGGAGCTACACTGGTCAATTCTGACTTTTAAATACTGTAGGGCCCGAGAAAGGAGAAGAAAGCGGGAACACATGTTCGCTGGGGCAATAGCTTCAGCTCCTTTTGAATTTGCCGTCTTGCGGCAGAGCCGCAGCCACGGCCGCCCACCTCCTTTGTGAGCGCTATCGCTCCATCACAGTGCGAGATCATTTCCAAATTAAATTTTATGGTCCATTACTTACTGCACCGACACTGGTCTAATGGAATCTTAAGTGGAACTGACTGGACCTGCGTGGGGCCGGCCGCTCAGTTAAGATGTTATTTAGTTCTAATTATCAGATAATGAACTCGGGAAATTTAATTTTTAATATTTGTATGTCAAAAGTCCATCAGGCTTTGGTTAGAGTTTAAATTAGAAGTTAACCCGGGTTGAGTACCAGTCCCAGGACAGGCTTTTATGAGGACTGAGGTCACCCAGAGCCTGTTTACAGATGCTGGACCCGGCAAGAAGCAATCCAAGACCAGACCCTGGCTCTGGCCACAGGGCAGCATGGTGCAAGGAAAGCCAGGGGCTTGAGAGCTCGGTGCCAGGCTTCTGAAGGCACACGAGGAAGAGCCATCATCCAGACCTACGGCCTTGTGTTAGCATCCCAGCAAGTGCCCTGGGTTACACAGGCTGCTGTCTCCTGTGTCCCCCAGGTGAGAAGGAAGTGGTGTGCCGTTCTCATAGGAGGCTGGGTGGGAAGCAGTCTCTGGAGGATGTCACTTGGCCCCAGGGTTTGATGGAGTCTTCCCTCACCCAGACACCCTTGGAGCAAGCCTACTGGCTTGGGTACATCCAAGTATTTCTGGCAAGGCCAGACTCTGTGCTCTGCTCCTCTGTGACCTAACCTCAAAGCTGAATGTTACCCCTGCCCAGGGTGCTCACTGGTCCTTCTTCGGTAAAATCGGGGCCCAGGGTTTGAGGCCAGAGCAGCCGGGAGCACAGAAGCAGGGACGAGGGGGGCAGAAATGGAGTTTCCTGGAGGTGAAGTCGGGAGGATGGTCTGGAGGGTAGTGGGATCTGGCAGCAGCATCAGGGACGGGTAGCCGAGGTGAGAGGCCTCCTCCAGGAGCAGTGGCCCAGGTCCTTCTGCACACATACAAGGCTGCCAAGAGACCAACTGGGAAAGCTAGCTGTGTCTTCCTCAGGATCCCCAAAGTTAAGGGGAGACTGTTCCTCTGTCACCTGCTGCTACACAGCAACCACTGTCTACCTACCAACTTCAAACCGCCATGACTGACATCCCTACCCAGTAGTTTGCACCTCGGGCAGGGCTCCATAAAATGGCCACCTCTTTTTGGCATCACAGGTCTGGGTTGATAGCTGTGGAGAGGGCACTGTTGAGACCTCAGAGGGACCTGCTTGAGCTGAGTGTTCTCCAACATGGTAGACAGGTCCCCAGAGAGCTAGAGCCTGGAGAGAGGCAGAACCACAAGGGAGGTGGGGCCAGGAGAGAGGTAGGGCTCACGCTCAGGTTAGGTACCTGCAGTGGCTCAACAAGCTAAGGTTGCTCTCCTTCCCTCCAGCCCCTCCCCAGGGCCCCCCCTCCCCCTGTGGCTCCACTAGGACCACAGGACACTACTTTTGATGAAGGGCATCAAAGAACACAGACTTGGCCTGTGCTGCCTGTGACTGGGTCAAAGCGCTCCTTTCCACACCTCCCTCAATAGAGTTGGGCACCTACTTACCAACAAGGCAGAGTTCTGCCATCTCCCCTCCCGCCTCACCCACTGTTCCCACTCCAGCTCCTGCCCGGGAGTTTGCTTCTGCCTTCCTGGGGAGGGGCTCCTATTCTTAAAGGGACAAGTGGTTTCAACTGGGTCCAGAAGCTCTGAGTTCAGGCAGGGCCCCCAGCACAAAATGTTCTGCCCAACCTCTTCCAAAGGGTGTTCCTTGAGGCACCCTCAGGTCCCTGCCTTAGGCAGGCCTCATAGCCTATTCTCTACTGTGGCTTCTGTATTCCCCATGTACACATCTCTACCAGCCCCCCCCCCCACCAACTCCTGCCACAGAAGATTCTGACCTTCAGCTGGCACTTCAACATAGAGCTGTCTGGTCATTGAAGCCAAGAGCAGAGGTTGCTCTGTCCTGACATGGAGGTGTCCCATGGTTGCCATCTATGTAGCTAGCCTGGGTGCCCAGAACAGAAGCTAAGCCTTGCCTGAGAGGCAGCCCTGTCTTTCCCAAAATGTCAGGTAAGAAGAGTTCCTCCATGGCTTCTGTTCCTGCCTCAGGTTCCTGCCCTGGCTTCCCTCAATGATAGACTTACAAGCTGTGAAATGGAACAAACCCTTTTCTGCCCAAGTTACATTTGGTCATGGTGTTTTATCACCACAATAGAAACCCTAAGATTACACCCCCCCCCGAAAATAAATATGTAAATAAATTGCCTTGCAGTCTGTATTAACCATTTTCCTCATGATGATCAAATGTCTAACAACAGAATATTTAGTAGAAGGGGCTTATTTCATGGCAAGGGAGGCATAGCAGTTGGGTTCCATTGGTAACGAGAGCTTGGGTCGGAATGGGAGCTGAGGTATAACTCACAAGCCCCCCATCAGTGACTCACCTCCAGCAAGGCTCTACCTCCCGAAGCAGCACCGCCATCTGTATTCAGACACATGAGCCTTTGGGACGCGTTTCTCACTCAGCACACCCGGGTCTGTGAACACGGATGCCTCACTGTATCGTCTCTCACACCGGCTGCCTCTTAGAAGTTACCATGGTGACTGCAGTGAGAGAAAGCTCTGGATTGCTACCTCTGCATGGACCTCTGCATGGACCTCTGCATGGACTGCGCCTCTCACAGATGTCTTCATGCAGTCACGAGGACTTCTGTCCC